GAAGGGGAGAGAAAGATTTGCTTCTGTGCCTTTGAAATCCAACTTATATCAGTTTGCAGACCCATCTATTTGCTAACCACTGCCATCACAGTGTTTTTCTGTCTCTCACCCCCAGGTCTGTTTAACCTCTTAAGCACGAATTAATTTTCAGTACTTTTTCACAGGACAGGCCATTTTCCAGTGGTACTTATATACAGGATGTTACACTAAGCACAGCATCCCTTGACACTTTTGGCAGCTTTGAAAGCTCAGCTTTTGTCCACTCATATGGGAGAAAAAGCAGCCACAATTCCTTTTACAGTCCTGTCATACATTCTCCTCCTTCACTTGATGCATCAGGCAACTCTCCAGATTTGCCATATAGGTGCAGGAGGTAGGGGCAAACAAATAATCATTTACACAATGTTTCTAAAGACAAGTCTAAGCCTGACTCCTGCAGTTCAGATGGAGGTGCTGTACTGAGCAAAAGCCACCACAGCAAGAGATGACGCTTGAAGCCAAACTACCTGCCAGTCCCACCCAAAAGCCATTCCTAGTGCACTGAAAACAGCCTGCCTTCCTACACTTCTTCCTCCCCAACTGCAGAGGACAAACAGCTGCCAGAGTTCACCACCCCCAGTTAGTGAGGGTCAAGCACAAGCTGGGGCAGGGAGCCTGGCAGGCCATCAGTTTCTCCAACAAGAAAACAAAGCAAAGGAGAAGCCTGCTAGAACCCACATTCTACCTGATGGGGAGGCACATGAGAGAGTGAAAAGAATCGCTTCCCAAAGCTGCATTCAACCAGAGTTTTTTGTTCCCAGCAGTACCAGTGGTGCTTTGGAGCCAGGACTATGCCTGGGGCCTGTCTGATATCAAAGGTGGGGGGAAATTCTTGTACAGATGTATGTTTTTGTCCTTCAGTCAATTTGTGTGATTGTTCTTGTTCTACTTGAAGAAGTAAGTTGTACAGGCCCATGGTATCCAGAAATTAATAGGCAATGCCCATTTTCCAAATTGAATACGCAAGAGTTTTGCTTGCTGTTTCCTGTCTGTTATGTAGATTTTAAAGGCATGAACAGTTTCACTGTCAAAAATAAAGATGGAAGACTTATCTAAGTCTTATCCAAGACTTATCCAAGCTTGAAATTTTACCCAATTCAAAGTGTGTACCCAGTTCCCATTTCCAGCCAATTCTTAGCCTACAATAACAAACACTGCTGTCTTTGCTTGAATGTTTATCCCCACATTAACCTGATTTTCTGGGTTCACATATCATACTGAATTATAAATTATCCACATAGTGATTGCACTATCTAGTAGGCTAGCACATCGTTGGGTAGTTTGGATTCAGTGTGCTCTACCAACACAGCCACCATAAATGCCACAGGAACTACTATGTGTGAATAAGCTTCATTTGCCAAGCTGCCTGTGAAGGTTGGGCTCGTCCTAGGATCACTTGCTCCCAGCTGGAATCTCCACTGCAGATTCTTCTCTCACTACTTTCCAGATCCTCCCCCAGAATTCCATTAGCAACGATGGCTAGGAATTTCAGTCCCCACACAAGGTATCTGACAAAGGAATCCAGCCACCGGGGTCGGAATTCTTTATTTTACAGAATACAAGGAATTAGCTGCCATATCCCAATTCCAACTCTTTGCTAATTTAGCCTAAATCTGTCTCTGGGAACCGTACTCCTGGACGACCTGCAGAGAACTGCAGCCCTTCTACATGGTATATGGCCTAGCACTGAACTGTGGTCATTCCCCAGAATGGTCTGGAATGGAGGCAAAGTGGGAGTTCTGTTGACTGTATCCTTCCAAGAGTTCTATCTGACCATGAAGTATCTCCTACAACTTTCTTTTTTGGCTTAGCAGAAAGCTGTCTCATACCTAGGCCAGCCAGGGAGGAAAGGAATTCAAGGAGCAAACTCTGAACTTCCCCTGAGCTGCAGATGGATGTGGCTGCCTTGAATAACCTTAGTCCTTATAAATAGAATCCACCGAAGACTGTTTTGGTAGGACATTCCTGACCTGTTCTGCCAGCCTTCAAAAGACTACTCCTGGCCCCTGCAGGCAGATTTAACTATGTTTGGCCTCCTCCTTCTCAGTGAGTCACTTTGTGATTAACTGGAAGAATTTTTAGGCACGTGCAGATGCCAGGGTTGTAGTGTTGTCAGAGGATTCCACTCAGGATTAGTTGGTATAGAAACATACGTTTTCAGCCCCCAGCCATGCCCTGAAGAAGAAAATCCTTCAAATACAAAAGCTGACCCCCTCAAGGAGAGTCTGGCACCCATTCAATTTCTAGCGATGATCACTGCTCTTGCATAATTCCTATTTGGAGAGAACAGGGACATCCCCAAAGGAATCAATATTGAACAACAGCCCTCCAACAAAGAGCACACTAACACAGATCTACAAATGTGACCTGTCTGAGATGTCACTTACTATTGTAGGACTTGAGTGCCATGTCAATGTGTCACCAGAAATTATCACCAGTGAACCCCCTAGGATGACAAAGAGCTTAAAGAGGCATGATGTAGTAGCAGGGCAGAGCAGGCAATTGGAAAATCACAATTTCTGGATCATAGAAACAAATTATTGTGTCCCATTATTATGATGGGTTCAGACATCATGCCAAGCCATGGTTTGCTTAACCATGGTACTTAATCACCAAGTGGCTAGGTTCACACACTTAAGTCAAAACTAAATAAACCAAAATATGGCTTAGTGCAGTGTATGAACTGGGTCACTGAGTGAAATCACTCACAATATTGTCAGCTCAGTGCACAACTACTGTAGCAGGGAACTCCAAGACTTCAGACAACAGGGGTTTTTTTCCCAATCCTCCCTGGAGGTGGAAAGATTGACCCCTAAAACTTCCTCAGGTAAAACTGGTGCTCGACCAGCAAGCCCATGAACATCTCCATGAACACAGTTTTGTCCTTTGTAGTAGATCAGCTAAGATATAGGATAGAAGGCTGCAGATATCAAACCTCCTCTCAGAAGCACTCTGAGCCCTCACACTGGCAATTCCTGTTGCAAGCATCTGTCTCCCAGGAGTACCTCACCTTACATGTGAGAGAAACAAGGTTATCCCAATCAGTACCTTAACCAATATACACAATCAGGGTTGGGGAGGGAGGAGATGGGGGCACCAGGAAGTTGTTGCACTCTAGTGTTTTAAAGATCTCCCCACATGGCACTGTAAAAGCTCCTGAGGGATCATGTACCAGGAGAGAGAACATAAGGATTTGCATTGTACTCTGAAAAGACAGCAGAGCTGAGGACTTCTACCCCAGTTCTTCTTCACGTTTCCAAACTTTGCAGCAAATTTAAGAAACCCAGCAAGGAAGACACCCTTGCATGGAAGTTAATGCAGCCAATCCAGGTTTGCATGTAATCTATACTAAACAGACACACAAATGAGTAACAACATTGTGAAAGTAAAATAATATTTTATTCTTTGGAATAAATCTCCAGCAACAAAAGATAAATGTCACCTGTATGAAGCATGCAGGTATACTGAATCTGCATCTACCAACTTTTCTATCTGTTCTGCTTCTGGAAAGTTAGCAGCCAAGTAGCTTTGCAGATTAACGAAGCTATGGCTCCTTAGAGACTTGCTCAGACCACCCTCTTGCTGCAGAAATTTCATCAAAACCTATCTTCAATGCAGTAAAGACCAGAAACGTGCCTTTTTAAAACAGCAGAATGCTCAATTCTGCCCAGACACTCATTCCTCCCCTTCCATCTCTCCACTCAGAGGAATATAGCACTCGGGCAGTAACAGAATAGTAAGGCTTTCCATATAGGAAGTTGCACATTCTGTCCTTATTATCTCCCAGTTAAAAAAGAAAGAAAAGAAACAGGATTTCACCTGTGATTCTGTAAACAAGGGAAAGCAATCTAGTGTCCTCTGGATGGTTTGGACTACAATTCTCATGATCTCTGAGCTCAGCTTAGGGGAGTTACAATCCACACCTCCTGCAGGGCGTCGGATCATTTACCCCGATATATCAAAAGGTGTTTTTTTTCTGGACTGGCCCAGCAACCTAGTTTATGTGAAAACAGGGGCTTTCCTCGCCTCAACGCCGCCCCGTTTTTGACTATTAACTGCGAACTCTTCTCCTACATTCCGCAACAGCCCAATCTCACTGACCCCACCTAACCTCTCACGCACAATTACACAAGCCAGCTGTATACCAAACAGCGGGCTGCACGGAGCATTTTCTCCATTCTTCTAGCCGAGGATAACGCAAAAACGAGGAGCGGCTTTCCAGAACCATCCATCAAACATCGCTTGTGCACTGAGGGGTACAAACGCAGCGGCACCCCTGTGACCCCGTTTCATTGTACACAAGTTGAAGCAATTTTGAACAGCGACACCCCCCCCCCGGTCCCTCGCCCAGTCCCAGTGGCGAAAGATCCGCAGTCTCCAATAATTTGCATTGCACCAGTAAGTAGTCCCCTCTTTCTTTGTATCGATTGCACAAATCTCCAACTGGCTGTTTGTAGCTCCTTCGCCTCTTCAACAATCATTTCAGTATCAACAGAAACTGCTTTTCCGGCTCCTCTCCCTCCGCTTGCTGAGGTAGTGATGGGGGGGGGTAATCAATAGCAAAAGCTCTTTTTTGAACCCATTTGCAAAGACGTTTACGATCGAAGAAAGGCGAACAATCTCATGCAAAAGAATGCATTTCTCGGCGGTTGCTTTTTTTTAAAGGAAAATGAATTAAACCCGAGACTTAAGCGCGCCTTCCGGTGTAGTGATCTACAGCATAGCTGAGGCGAAGATAGTGGGCAAGCCGAGCAAGAGGTGGAAAACGTGAAAAACGCCTGTGATGGCACGTAAATACAAAACACCCTTCAACATCGCAGCAAGCCTCTTGGCTAGCGCATTTCCTCTCTCGCCCTCCCTCTGGTCGTGCCCAGCAACCCACTTCCGAAGAACTGAGGAATCTCGTGAAGATAAATCCGGGGAGGGGGGAAACGTTTGCAGCAGATAAATCGGAGGCTTACCGGAATTGTTATCCATGCTGGCTCTCGCGCTCTCTCTCGCTTTTCGCCGTTCTCCCGTTGTTAGTGCAAACCTGGCTCTCGGGTTGCCCCCCCCCACAAAAAAAGGGGGGAAAATCGCCTTGGGGAGGGCAACGAAGAGTTGCGCGCTGGGTTCGCTTGTTTGTTTTCGTGGGTAGGTCGGGGCTCTCCCAAACGAGCAAAAATAACTAGAAAGGGGGCGATCGGTAGCAAGCCGGCTGTGCGCAGTGAGGGAATCCTCTGCGCCGTTCCCCCTCTTCTCCCGCCGGGTGTGTGTGTGTGTGTGTGAGAGAGAGAGAACGCGAGAGCGAAAGAGAGACGGAGTGTGAGCGCGCGCGCGCGCTTGCCGATTCCTCAGCCACCGCGCTCTACAAAATGGATTGTGCTTCCCGGGGGCAGCGCTATGCTATCGACAGCGACTTCCACGTGCTTTTCGAAGCAAGGCTAGGTAAAAGGCTGAGGCCGAGGCCCCCCGACCCACTTCCCTTAATTCGAGGCTATGCGGGAGAGCGTTCCTGCTGCGGTTGGTTTTTTGCTGGTTCAACTCCAGGATTAGCTGCTCGCTCCTGTTTTCTAGCCAGGAAGGAGCGGGGGAGTTAGGATCTGGCGTACCTCAGCGGCTGGCTCATGTGTAGCCTGCATGTGACAGAATCAAAGGCTTGCCCCACTGACACACATTCCGGCAGCCCAAGCGATGACATCAGCTCCACGGCTGCACATGGGCAGGAGGCGGGGCGGGAGGAGGGACAGAAGCAGAAAGCGGAGCTCGCTGCGCGCCCCTGCCTGGGGTAGGGAAGGGATGGGGAAGAAGAAGGAGAAGAAGAAGGAGACGCGCGCACACACACACACACACACACACACATACCGCGGCCTGGCACTGTCCCAGCTGGGACATCGTGGAGCAGCAGTGCCCCGGCTTTTGTCGACACAGAAAAGGGAATCGGGGGTTTCGCTGCCAAGCAGGCGCTCCAGCGAGGACAAGAAAACGGGCCAAGCGGAGGCGCACCAGATTGGGACTTCTGCTAAGTGTGGGTAGGGGCGCTGCAAAAAAAAGCAGAGATGCGCCTGTTTTATTATCTCCTGGCGGTTTTAGGTTTGCCCCTTTCTCCAGCCCCTTCGGGGGTGGGGGGAGGGGGCATAGCTTTCTGCAGCAACTTGTTGTGAGCCGCCCAGAGTCTTTGACAATTGGGCAGCATACAGGTTTAATCAATTATTATTATTAATGTGAAAGAAAGCTACACATGTTGAATTTGTCAAAATACAGCTGTCTGGTGTGCCTCTGTGCATATGTTAGGAAGTCTTGCCCTAGGGGCATGATTCAGCAAAGTTAAGGACAAGAGATGTATGTGTCACCATCGCCAGTGTATGCAGCTGTGCCTTTCTCTGCTACACATGACTTGTGATTATCTTCCAG